ATGTTCAACACTAACGGTCTTGACTTGTATTGAATTTTATAAACATTAGTGGTGTTCGATGCAGTTGCGCGGATATGTATCATAATAATCTAATTTAGAGAAACTCAATTTTTCTAGGAACAGTAGAATAAATCGTGCAACGAACGTCCGTAAACCTAGTGTTAATATCGTAACTAAGTTGATAATAGTGCAATGGGAGGGTTGCAACGCTAAGTAACAACGAAAGAATAACTGTCCGGAGAAACGGTGAAGATTTTCGTGGCGCTCAACGTGTTAACAGGATTCCGAATGATCCAGATGTTGCGCGTGCGAGTCAAACCGAACGTAGATTATCCGTCAAATAGGAAGCTTGCAACATTGTCGCGACCTTGGCTGTAGCCAACGTACAGGGCGTCTCAAGACACGAGAACTTCGAGAGATCGGTTCGACGAATAAGTGTCGTGTGAACACGTACTGCATTTCGAACCTCCAATTCAGCAATTACCGTATCGCAGCATACAGGCCGAGTCGAAGCACGTTCGAAGCACAAGCATCGAACTGTTCCTTTCATTGAAGTGTCTCTGAATTCCTCGAGAAAAATCATTATTTACATACACTGTCGTAACTCCCGTCGAACTCGAGTCGCTAATCGCGCCCGTAACTCACGCGAAATGTATCGACGCCCACCCGATCTCTCGGCGATACGATTAAACGGCAGTTCGAGGTGCGCAGGATCGGTGAACGGTTCCGGTGTAGCGACCGGTGGCTGAAATCGGCGCAAAGTTACGAAGGCGGCGGTACGCGGCGCACCGCGTGCCCCGGTGTGGCCCGTTCGCGCGCGCGAAGGTCGACCGGCAGCATTGAGAAAGGTCAAGGTCGGCCGAACACGTCGAACAATCGGCACGTGAGGAACTATCGCGGCTCGGCCGAGAACGGTCAGCCCCGTTGTTCCGTGCGGCAATTGAAACCGGGCTGATTGGCCCCTTTGCCTCTGCGACGGGGCCTAATCAGCCGCGATGAGGTTTTCTCAGGACCAATTCGATGCCGGCCCCCTTCGCTCTGCCCCCGTGGCTCTTCATAGTGTCTCCGTCCGTCGTCGTCGACGTTCCCGCGCATTCTCACCTTCCGACCGTTAGCCACTCGCTGCTACCAGCTAGCTAGACGCTTCAGGTAACTTTTCTCGTCGAGGGGAACCTGAATCGCAAGACAGTTAGCTATATAGATCGTCCAGGTAAGTTTCCTCGTCACAGGGAACCTAAATCGTAAGAGAGTTAGATTCTTCAGGCAACTGTTCTCTTCGAGAACCTGAATTGTTGTGGACTTAGCTAGAGCCTTCAGGAAGGTTTCTTGTCGAGAGAACCTAAACAGAAAGAAGGTTGAAAATCATAGGACTTAGCTGGAGCCTTCAGGCAACTTTCCTCGTCGAATGGAACCTAAATCGTAAGGACAGAATCGAATCGTTGTCCGAGCGAACGGTTCGACCGGAGTAAAAAACAGAGGAGAATAATGGCCGTAGTAAATAGTTTCCGAGCTAATATAATGCTTCGTTAGGTCGCGCTCCATTGCGTCCGCCGCGAGCACGCGGTATGCTCGGTGGCATTCCGGATTCGAGTCCGACAGATCGTGCCGTTGGGGAATCTTTCGATGGTTCCGACGGGTCTTCAAAATGGCGGCGTAGCAGCTCTCGAAATGGCGGGATAATCCATCTTCGCGACGCACGCGAATCGTTGTTCCCCGTTGGATGCTTGACGTCCGAGTATGAATCGAACGAAAGGAAAATTGTTCTACGGGTCTATTAATCTTCTTCAAAATGGTGACGCAGTGGGTTCTCAAAATGGCGGGGCAATCAATCTTTGAAATGCGCGCTGTAAGATTTATGGATTCCTGAAGCGGATCGTTGAAGTTTAACTTATGAATCGAATAAAAGAGGAATCGTTGTCCAGTAGGTAGAATTATTGTCTTTCGTTGAGCTTGAGATCCGACTGTAAATAGAAGAAAAGAACTGTTCTATCGATCTGACGGTTCCCGTCAAAATGGCGACTCGATGGGTTCCCAACATGGCGGAGCGAACGGCCCGTCCTACAAAGTGGCAAAATCCCTTCGAACGTGACGCGTTCCACGGAACACGGGCTCTCGCGGCGACGCGATAGATCGTTCCAAGGATGTTCGGATCAAAGTACACAATCGAAATCGTTTTCTTCCGATATCGTCCGGCCGAGATTCTGGACGCTGGCCGGCGACGCTTTATCGCGGCGTCGTTTTCTCCCTGATATCGCTGACTTGTTGACTCGCGAGCTGTTTCCGAGACTCTACGCGAAAGTTTGCTATAATATCTGTGATTCATGCGGACACGGTGCAGTTTCCAGCCGAGATTCGTCTCGTTAGGGATTGATCCGCGTTCCTCCGCCGCTGACCGAAGGAAAATCGTGCACGGTGCCGTTCGAGACCACTGGTTCCTCAAGATTCTCGAAACTCGACGTCTGCCCTTTTAAAGTTGGCCTAATCCAAGGTGATTTATACACTCGATTTTAATTCTGTGAACTATCGTGAGGTGAACAGTCCTTTTCAGTATTTAAACATACTCTTTATCTAAAAAATCTTAACATAATCTACACGAATGAATCTTATTATTCAAATGTTAATATCAATCTTTAAACATTAATAAATCTGCATATTAGAATTCCGAATAATTATCTATAAGCATAATTGTAACAATAAGTTTCAAAGTCAAGTGTTTTACAGGCGACACAGATATACTTATGTCATATTTTGATACTGTTCTTTATTTAAACACTTTCTACAACTGGAATTTATTTTATCTCAAAAGTTTCGTGCTTCAAAGGATTAAAGGACCGTTAGACACTAAAGGATCTCACTTCCGTTAATTGGTGTCGTTTGTGAAACGAATCGCAATCGTTAGACGTTCTCGAATGGGACATTGAAGATACGTTTTCTAATCGGGCCGAGATTGCACCGGTGCAATTCGATGGTTCATTTAACACCGAGTTGCCTGCGTCCACTGTATTTATTTCCAATTACTAGTTTCTTAGGTGTACATATAAAGTTTTACTTTCGTCGTGCTAGAGGCTGACTTCCGATGGCTTTAGAATCGACAGCACTCGACAGCAGATGGAACTTACAGATAACCAAATTTTCTATCTTTTCCAACAGTAATATGCTGCTTATTCTGCGCCATTAACATCTGTCACTTCTCATTTCCACAGTAGAAAGTTAAAAACTAACTTCTGCGCTTCCATCCGAGCAGCGTCTTCGCAGCCGCCATCTTCTTCTCACCCAACGCGACTTCGTTCGGAACTTCTTATTATTCGACGCAGCAAACCGACCTAACGCGAAGTTTTTCGTCCGGATTACAACCTGATATTCCCGAGAACTGTTCCATAAGCAATTTTAACTCGCACTCAAAGGTCTGCTTACGAAACGCATCAAACAAAAGATCTGGAATTTTTATTATCTTCGACGTGTCTTAACGAGATCTGTTCACTCAAGGGTGTGGCAGAATTGAGTAACTACCGCAACGTTACAGTAATTATCACTTTCGTTCGCAGCGAAGTCGACCAGCAGGATCGAACCGTCTCCCTTTTCGCTTCTAATTTGCACCGTTCACGCCGCAAACCTTATGGTTTCCCTTCCGAAACCATAACACTCGAATCCTCGAACAAAACTCGAGTTCAACGTACGCTTCGTTGTTCTTCTACGCATAGAAATCCTCGTTCTCGCGGATCTCGGACACTAGATCTCCAAAAATATCAAATTAGAATGCCAGTATCATCGTTTATCAAGAAACCATGACACTGTAGCGTTTCTACGATTGCTTCGATCGAAATTTACTGGAACTTTTGCAAGATAACGTTCGCAGGAATCTGGTGTTGATTCTCTTTTCGAAATACAGGCACGTGTATAATTTATTGGTATGATAATACGCGTATTTGCGCTGCGACCGGCAAGCCGGCGTGACGTGTCGCGTCGATCCAGCATCGCGCGAGCATAATACATGCATAAATTATTAAATCATACATAAGTAATTAAACGAGCACGCGGGAGATCGCCGCGCGTCCGTTCGGCGACATTTGGAGGCGTGTGCTCTCCGAGGGTGTGTCCGGCATCGGTAGCCTCTCTTAATCTGCGAACCGCGATTAATTATGTAGCGACATTAATTCCAGTTCAATAATAGTCGCCCTCGTTATAGTCACGCCGACAGCCGATTAGCAGCGCCGGGACCGCGAGTATATACGACTTGTTTGCTCTGACAGATGAATAATCGTTGTCCTCTATTGGCGAGATTGCTGGCGGCGGATCAACCGTTAACCCTTAGGGGACACGAAGGGACAGTAATCGGTCTGTTGTTTAGAACTTTGGAAATTTTCCTCTCGATCGGAGTCTTATTTTGTTGCTTCGTGTCACTGTTGTGCCAGAAATACGCGAGTCGTTGAATGAGTCGCGTTGCTCGTTATTGGAAGAATGCTTCTTGTATTAGAAGCGCGTAGAGTTTGCACTAAGTTTTTCACTAATATTTGGAACTAATATTGTAAACTATAGTACTTGCAATTGTAACGGTTGAAGCTATAATATTTCCAACTACAATAGTAGAAACTGTAATATTGTAGACTATAATACTCGGAACTGTAACGGTTTTAGCTATAATATTTCCAACTACAATAGTAGAAACTAATATTCTGTATAACATTTGAAACTATATTTTAAATACTCGCTACAATATTTCCAACTTCAATTTAAACAACATTCTGAACTCCAAGAATTCCAACCAATCTATATACACCATTTCGAACAATACAATCTTAAATTACAACTAAATCGAATCTATAGTTACTCCAACCACAAAAGAAACTCACGCAACCTCCAATCCATTCCGGAAACGCCATCATTCGTATCCTTGCAACGAATCGAGACAATAAATCCATCCTCCAATGAATGCTCGAAGAAAATCGATAACCATCCATCTAAATCGCACTGCGATCCTTAATTATCCTGGTTTGTTCCAGTGAACCGTGGACGACGATGGCGTCGCTGGGGACTAAAGTGGATGAGCAAGTCGCCAAGGCACCGCACCAGAATGGCGGCTGCAAGAACGAGAACCTGCCGCTCGACGACGTTCAGGACAACAATAACGAGGTGAGAGCCGGGACATCTTCTCGATCCCCGACGACGCGAACGAAAACCTGCCGACTATTTATATAATTATTATAGATTTAGAACATAGTAACTAAATTAAACGAAGCATTTTATCATATATGACATATGTGTGATATTTTGATATAGTCAAAGCGACAATAGGATACCTTATCCGCTGATTATATGTTAACATCATTATAGCAATGGTAATCAACAGGGTCACATATACGTGACGCGTGGTCGTGAATGCGTTGAATTTGTCCACATTTATTGTTAACACGTTGCTTGCTATGGGGTTACCGGTGACTCCCAACCAAATCGAATTACTACAGTTCATTTCAATTAAACCACGATTATTTGACAACATTTCTATACTGTAATAATGCTAACTAATGTGGTGACATTCAGCTAGATGAACCTGCAATATTTTTCCCATTTTGCGTATTCTGCTCTACGAAATCGTGCGGCGTTCGTGTTAACACGTTAAGCGCCATGTCAGCCACTGGTGATTGACGCTTCTGAATGACTAAAGAACAATCGTAACATACAAGACAACCGATGTGAAGTAAAAATGTTTAATAAGGCAACTAAGTTGATAATAGTGTAACGCAAACGTTGCAACGCCAAACAATTCATAAGTATTCCTACTTTTCTTTGCTACAAAAGACAAACTCTATGGAAAAACGCTTAAGATTTTCGTGTCGTTCAACGTGTTAACGATCGATCCAGGGGTTCCCCGGCGTCTGGACTCGCCGAACATGTTATTTACCGCGGAATGGCTCGATAATGGCGGCCACTGTTTACACCTCGGTATCCTATAATTCTCGGCAATTATCATTTTTTCAAACGCGCACCGCCTGTCGAGGGAATTCGTCACGGTTGCAGTGTCCACGGCACTGATTGCGCTCTGCGTCTTCGATCGAGCTCCTCCAGGATGAGCGCACGGTTTAATTTTAGTTTCTCATTAGGCTTTAGCCGTCTGTTCGTTGTTCTACGCATTGTTGTACTGCGTTCATAATTCTCTTGACTCAATGAGTATCCAATTATCGCGGAACAAGTCGAAACCGATGATTTTGATTGGTACTTCTGCTGTCAAACAGAAAAAACAAGAACTACGAGCCGATCTCTCGCTGTTCGAGTAATTAAATCGTTCGTTTGCGACTCAGTCTTCGAAACATCATCTCGTCTCGCTAAAGTGTCGAAATTCGTTTCCAAAGGGTTAACACTCGGAAGTTTTTCAATGGAAATATTCAACACTTCTCGACGAGATATTGGTGATATTGCTTGAAACTAATTTAACCCTCTATGCAGTGCAAAATTAATAAATATCCATATGAATACGAATTAACAACGTATTCAATAGTTTCAATAATTTCATCAAACAAATATATGTTGTAACTTTCACGCCTGGGCATATAAAAGTTTAAGTTCACTGATTACTTAATTTTATTCACCACATTGAATGCAGAATGAAATAAATCAACAAAATGCCGATATACTGATATGACTTCAAAGTTACATGGGCCTACAGAGGGTTAACGATAATTCGTAAATTAAGCAACAGGTGTTTACTTCAATATTTCACGTAACAATGCGAAGTTCAATTCGAAATATTAAATATTCAACTCGATAGTTTTGTTGCATCGAATCAAGTGGCGACTGAGAGTCACCTCTCGAGCGCAAAGGGTTAATCGGCGCTGAAACCTCGCAACACCTAGGGTTTCCTCCAGAAAACGTCGCGATTAGCCGGACGCGTCCGATATTGCTGCACGGGAGGCGGCGAGCTAAAAATACGCGGCGCGGTAATTTATACGCTGTCTTTTTGTCGGTATCAGGCGTCGCGTCGCATGGCCCGGGCGTGCGGTTTGATAACTCGCCGGAGTTTTGGGTCACGCGGCTCGCACCGCGCGAAAGTCGCCGTCCGCAGCTCACTTTCTGCGCGGCCTTGATCTTAAGCACCTTGTGAATTTCCACGGGCGATCGGATGTCGAAATGTCTCGGCGCCTATGGAATTTCGTGCCGAGCCGCGTCCGTTACGAGGAAAAAACGATGAACCGGTATTGTTCCTCCGACGAGTTCCACCGTTTGTTTCGCCGGTAATCTCGATCGTTCGGCCGTTTCATTAGGGAGTTCGGGCTTGATAATTCCGCTGTATCGAATCGGGCGTCACCTCTCGAGCGCAACGGGTTAACCGGACGGGGACTCTTTGAAATATACGAAACCTTCGGTAGATGCAGCTGAGTTATGCATCGATTGCTTAGACAAGGGAAAGTATGTACCGATTTCTTGCTGTTCGAGGAATCAAATCGCTTGTTTTGAGTTAGCATTCTAAATACGAAAATTTGATCTCCCGAAGAGCGTGGGTTTCAAAGCGTTTAACGTTGACATCTGTAGTTGCAGCGGCGTTTTGTCGATTGAAAATGTATGATTCTTGTAACAGTGTGTTTATTGGTAAACAATATTCACGAAAATGGTACAATAGATCTAAACACAGAAAGAAAGGGACAACAAGGATATAGGGTTGTTTACGAAGATTTAACCCTCTGCACTCGAGAATATTTTTCTCAAGAAATATTCATTGTTTTCTGATGAAATATCAATGATATGTTTTACAACTAACATAAATTTCGATGTTCCATGTGCTGATGCGTTATATAAAAATTTAATATTGAGTTCTAAATTTTATCGTTTCCTCGAGTGCAAAGGGTTAATGCTTGAACAGTCTGATTGCTATAATATACACATGGAAAATAATAATATACGGGTTGTAAAATACGAGGAAACGTTGTTGGCAGAGCATCGAGGTTGAGATGGTGGTGCCGCCAGACGGTGGATGGGGTTGGGTGATCGTCGCCGCCTCGTTCATGTGCAACCTCTTCGTGGACGGTATCATCTTCAGCTTCGGCGTGTTCCTGAACGACATCTCCGAGGCCTTCTCCGTGTCCAAGGCGAGGGTCGCGCTGGTCGGATCGCTGCAGTCAGGATTTTACCTTATGGCTGGTCAGTGACAACGATATCCTTCGTGGTATTCCTAATAAAGGATTCCTTTCATCGAGTGTTTCACGTTGGAAGGAACCCTGCCATTCTTTTCAGCTATTATTTGATCAATTCTGTCACAGACTCTAATAAATCTACAATTTCATTCGACTAACTGACTTATCAATTGAGTCGCTCGGAAGCTAACGCAGTTAAGTCAGTGAAACTGAGAAAATTCAAGTTTTGCTTCTGAAATGATTATACAATATATTCAGAAATTATAGAGAGAAGACCTTCTGACCTAGGACAACGGGTAAATGATTAAAATAAAAAGAATTCAGATATACCTACTAGAATTTAGAAAAATTGACTTAAAAGCATTAGCTTACGAGCGACTCAATTACCCTTAACATGTCGTGTCCAATAGAAAACCATAAAGAATTACTCGTATTACCATTGTTGTTCTCGTGTAATCAACTAAGTTGAACTAACGTTAATTAAGCAATGTTCACGAGCAATTTCCTAACACAATCGCCGATGAATATCATATTAATCTGCAATTACAGGGAATTACTCGCATTATCGTTGTGTATTAGGTGTATTCTTGCACAATTATCGAAGTAATTGGAGTGAACCGGTCCTCACGAACTTTTTCAATCTGCCCACAGGCCCCTTTGTCTCTGCCCTGGCGAATAGGTACGGCTTCAGGCTGGTCGCGATCCTGGGGAGCGTTATAAGTTGCGGCGCCTTTGTCCTCTCGTACTTCAGCACATCCATCGAGTTCCTTTATATCTCTTACGGCGTCCTCGGTGAGTTCTTTGCCCGATATATATTCCCGCGAAGTTACTGCCGCCAAACTTTTCCCCTCTACCCGGCCGGGTGTGTTCCATTTTCATCCGCGACGAACGGTTTTTCCTGCGGCAAGCACGCGAGACGCGCGCGACCAACCGCTTTTTCCTTTCTCTCGTTCCGCGCGCCCTTCGATCCCAATCGAACGGGGAAAATTCTTTTTCGAGCCAACTATTTACGGAGTCGGCATCGATGTGACCAAATTTGGATTTCTCGGTGAGACGTAGGAATTGTTTTCAATTGATTTTGACTAGCTTTGGAATTATTAAAATTATTGGGATAGTGGAATGATTGGGGTTATTGGGGTTATTGGAATTATTGGAATTATTAGAATTATTAGAATTATTAGGGTTATTAGAATTATTAGAATTATCAAAATGATTAGAGTCGATCTCACCGAATGCGCAGAACTCCAAATCGCTTTGAATTCATTTCCACGTTTCGAGTAAGCCGACCGGCGAATTTATATTCACATTTGAAGTTCGTTGAACGTTCGATTACCGGCGACTCGATTCTATTAATTCAAGACTCCCGGTAAAGCGAGCATTCATCGCGTCACGGTATCCGACTCCACTAACGTCTACCTACAGATTGCTAGAATCTCTCGTGCGGCGCGGCGGCTCGTTTAGCCGGAGGAATTGTCGTTCGAGATAAAACGCGGGAATGAAAGGAGACGATTCCATTCATAACACGAGCCTTATCGTTTCTTCCCTGATTTCACGTGGTGTTGTTTGTCTCTTGGATTGTCAGGAGGTATCGGAGCGGGCTTGATTTACGTGCCGGCTGTGATAACTACCGGATTTTATTTTGAAAGATGGAGAGCTATGGCCACAGGGATCGCGGTATGCGGCTCCGGAATCGGCGCGTTCTTGCTAGCGCCTATCTCCGACGTGCTCGTCAAGCAATTCGGATGGAGAGGCGCTTTGCTTTTCCAAGCAGGTAACATTTCGCTTCTCGCGGACCGCTCGGTTCATCGTTTACCATTTGTATTTATGATCGTTTCAGGTGATAAGCTACTTTAACATACTTATCCGGGATGTTCAGTCGAATCTGCACTGAATATCTCGAATGGAATTTATTCTTGCCGGGTTTCATTCAATTTTTATCAACTCGATGCGTACCACAGTATTTTACCTATTTATTCTGTAGTCTTAATTATTTGTTATTTTATTATTTTGATATTTTAGTATTTTAATATTTTACTGTTTTGCTATTTCACTACTTTACTTAACCACCACTAAATAGTTCTATTCAATTACACTCCATCTACAATTCTTACTATACCTACTTTAAGTCCACTAATCAATTCAATTACATCATTCGAATATCGTCGACGGTAACTATCCCTTAGGAACGGGTGAACTCGCTGATTAAGCAAGGGGTTGAAATTGCCCCACCAAAATACTCACGAAAGTCGATGATATTCCCCAACGATATTATTCAAAGATACTTGGATGCAAAAATTCGCATCAATTGCACGAGTCACGTATTTAATTTCACACGTTGACTTCGATTGCGAGTGACCCCGATTCCGTCCAAGGACGTTAATGGTCCCAGAGAAAGGCGCAGCGTGACGAAAAATACAATCGTTCCGTTCGATTTACCGCGCCCCGTCCTCTGTTTCGGGCGCATTGTCCGCGAATCACGCGGCAGAACGCTCTCGGCCGGATTAGAAGGCGTCTGGAAATGTCGCAGGTATGCTGCTGAATTGCTCGATTTTCGGCGCCATGTTCCGCCCGCTGAAGCCGACGAGGATTAAGGTGAAGTCCACGCCGGAGAACGTCGGATTAGAGGTGAAGAACGGCCTAATGGCCAAAGGTATGTCCACCACTTCGTTGCACTGCGTGCAACCGGGCAGGAGCGGCTTCTTCGGGACCAACAACAACACCGAGTACCCGACGGCCGCCGAGATGCTTGGCAGCAACCACAACATTGTCAAGTAACTAATCATCCTTCCTATTTCATCGAATCTTTCGTAGATATTCGAGCGACGAGCATCTAGTTGCGAAAACTCTCATCTTCCCTTTGAACTCTGTCTCTTATATTTTGTTTAATCCTGTTACCCAGCTTTCCTTATTACCTATTCTGCTTGGTAGCAACCACAACATAGTCAAGTAATTAATCATCCTTTCTCTTTCATCGAATCTTTCGTGGATATTCAAGCGACAAGCATCTAGTTGCGAAAACTCTCATCTTCCCTTTGAACTCTGTCTCATATTTTATTCGAAACAAATTTGACGAAGATCTAATCTACAACATATTTGTTTAATCCTGTTACCCAGCTCCCCTTCTTCCGAATTCGCTAACAAACATCAAATCTCGGTGCACGACAGGATCTTCCACAGAGAGTGTCAGAAGTTCGTCGCAGAACATCGACAGCTTCATCAAATCTCATGGAATTTTCACCTGGCAATTCCCTTGTGACACTCGCGATCCTAATTTCTCCTGGAAACCAGGTATCCTCGACAATGGAGTTATAGCACTCTCCCCTAGAAGACACCTAGAAATTAGCGTCATCCCCTAACGCAGGACAGTATCGCGAGGCTCTCGGGATTCGCCGGAATCAAGAGCAAAGTCGTTCGAAGTACAGTTCCGTGTCCTCGCTGTAAGATTAACCGAGTGGCACCTTGGGCAAGAATAAAGCTTGAGATAAGGAGGGACCGTAAGGTTCGGAGGGTAGCCGGAATAACGAGGGGGCGCGTGTCGGCTTGCAAAGACGCGAGGAGCCGGTTAAAGGGAGGATTTAACAAACTTTATTCGCCGAAATTACGTCAACGAGTGTTCCCGGTTTACGCTAGATCTACCGAGCACGGAAAATGACCTTGTGACATTCCTCTATGGAAACTCTGAGGGCGGCTATTGAAACTTCAATTGATCTACAGTTCGCGTATTGCCAGATCAATCTTCAACCCTTTGCGAAAGAGAACTTCTCAACCTCTGAAAACTCCAAAAATTGAATTATGAAACCTTAAATACCAGAAACAGAGGAAGCCTCTAATCTATCTCTCATTTGACTTAAATCATTTACTCGAAGCTTTCGATTTTGGATATGAAAGCTCGAAGTCTTTTAATAATCGCGAAAGGAAATCAGGAATAGGTCATTTTGACCCGTTCGGTAGTTCTAATGTTAGTACATGTATTAAATGATATTATTATCAAGTTTCGCTTACGTCGGTGAAGGTTTAACACTTCGACTGCCACGTGAACTCATCAAAACCCCTATGTGCTCGAAACAGTTTTCTTCATTAGCCAGAAACTGAGAAACCTTCCTTCTTAATAATTGCTTCACTATCTTTCTTATATATCATATATCCAAACATATAACAAAATTCGGTTTGCTCGACACGTGATCGAAACAATTAATGTCAAGTTTCCGTAAAAAGTATTAACCCTTTACACTCGGTATTCACCACTGACCTTTGTATACTGCGTCAGTACATGAATTATTCAAAGAAAATAGCTTCGTTCCATAGTTCACGTGTGCTCGTTTGATAAATATTTTAAAGAATCTTCTCTGCATCTAATTACGAAGTATCGAATATTTCAAGCGAAAAGCTCTCGAGTGCAAAGGGTCAAAAGATCGACGCGGCAGTCGAAGTGTTAAGGAACCAAGCGAAATTTCTGGTTGCAGCGCCTCGAAGTCGCTGCACTCGCTGCACAAGGTCCACGTGGAGATGAGGACGCTGGAGAGGAAGCTGAGCAGCTCCGAGAAGAGACTCTCCGTGCCCATATATCCGGACCTGGACGTGACCATGGACGAGAAGATCGCCGAGGAGGAGAACAATCTTCTCGGCGGCGACGTGGAGAGACTGAACGGCAAAGTGCCCACGGTGAGTACCGTTTCCAGCCTGGAATTATCGGAGCACCTGGAAATTCACGCGGATCTTCCTGGCTGTCGATAAACAATTTTTGATGAAGGCAGTACTTGATATTGACCTTGATCAGGCCTTAGGACGTGCAAATTGACGAGAATCTTCCTGCCTGTCGATAAACAATTTTTGATAAAGGCACTGCTTGATCTTGATCTTGATCAGGCCTTAGGACGTGTAAATTGACGAGGATCCTTCTGCCTGTCGATAAACAATTTTTGATAAAGGTAGTACTTGATCGTGACCTTGATCAGGCCTTAGGACGTGTAAATTGACGAGGATCCTTCTGCCTGTCGATAAACAATTTTTGATGAAGGCAGTACTTGATCTTGACCTTGATAAGGCCGTAGGGCAGAGGTGGGCAAACCGCGCATGCGCCAAACGTGGAACATTGTGGAGTATTGCCGATACAGCTATGGGGTTGTCGACTATTTTTCTGTAAATACATCTGCCAAGTCGAGAATTCAAGTATATCGTGATTTACTACCGTTGCGCAATTGCATAATAAAGATAAACAACAACAAACACATAGATAACTGTCCCCGACGAAACGGACGCGTTTGCGTAATTAGAATTCGGCGATAAGTATCGTCGGAGTTCTATCGAGCATTTTATTCACCCTTCTAATCTTAAGTTGCCTGTCTATCTAAATCATCTAATTGCTCAAGAATCCCGACGATGACTTAATTTCGCTTACAGTCTCGAAAATATCGCTTCTCGTCAGCTACCGTTCTATGATGAAACGTCAACGTAAAGTGGCGTTCAAAAGTTCCCAGATCTCTTTCGAATCGACTCCATGTCACGTCGATGTGTCGATTAACGCAAACAGTACAGTTCACAAAATCCTAGTATAATCCGTTAAATACATTCAATTATCATTATACTGTCAAACAAGCGTTATCTTCCTAAACATTCTAACACATCTTCGAACATGCCGAACCATTCATTTTCAAAACACCATATGTAAAAAACAGATATATTAATTTTTCCACAGAATCCCCACGCAATATCCTTCATATCTTCCTAACAAAAAGTTCCCACAGCCTTAACGTAAGAAAAATTCCATAATCACTTAACTCACCTAATTACCCAATAACCTTACCCCTCATAAATTCACCTAAACACCCTCCATAATCCTGTCCGCGAGAAAAACTATCAATAAACGTCCTCGAGGCGTTAATTGTTCCAGTCGAGCACGCTTCGTCCGATTGCAGAGCCCCGGGGCTATCCCATGAGCATAACGGAGAGCGTTCATGGCGCTAAGGGTGTGCTGGGATGGGGCGGAATGTCGCCGTGCCAAACGATTCATTCCGCGGCAATAACAGTATATCCCGGTTAAGTAACCGGACGATATTGTTGGCAGATCCGCAGGCACACGATTAGCGGGCGTCGGCTTCGCGCGGACTCGGACTGCAGCCAGAAATCCCTGAAGGTGGGCAACAGGCGGACCACCCTCAGCAAGGACCCGCAGCGGCCGTTCTACAGGGACGACATCTTTTACGGGGGCTCGTTGAACAGGCTGCCTCACTACAAGTCCCAGGTAAGAATCGCGAGGGAACATTTTCCAGTCGCGCACGATCATTTCCATGAAACTTTCTGAGACAGTTCTCGAGGAGATATTTCACGTGGATTTGAAGGGGTGTGAACGCTCACGGGGAGACAAATGTTAACCCTCTGTAGACCCATGTAACTTCGAAGTCACATATCAGTGTATCGGCATCTCGTTGATTTATTTCATTTTGCACTCAAAGTGGCGAATAAAATTAAGTAATCGGTTAACTTAAACTTTTGTATTCCCAGGTGTGAAAGTTTAACGTCATTGTAACTATAACTTATCTATCAGCAACTGCAACTAATTTTTATGGTATCTCTAGTGAAAATGAAAAATGCTATAACATACCTTCGATCTTCTAATAGAAATCTAATAATTAATAATAGAAAATCTAATAATTTTAGGGTAGTTCCTTTGATTCATTAAAATATTTAATACTATAACTGGTGCAATGTTGGAGCCTACAGAGTTCAAAGGGTTAAACTGTCCTTGAATTGGACAATGTAATTGTATATAAATTTTCTTGAGAAACAATTGAGTTGAATAATATACTAAATGTTTTAATGATTCTCTCGTGAATATGTCTCTATTACCAAGTAAATCTATATGTGAGAATTATAAAGTAAAATGGAGACTAATTTTCGGAATTCCTCGTTTTCTACCATATATAATTATTAGTTCGCTCTCCTAGTTCTCGTAAAAAGCGTTCCATCAAAAGCCCCATATCCACAAGGAAAAATGAGACCGTTGCTCTTAAGTCCCTGGTAGCGCAGGACAGTGCCCGGTGGTTCTAGTGTTAAAAAGGAACAGTGTTTTCCTTGGCGGAGGTGCTCGAGCTCTCGAGGGTGGCTAGGGGTGGAAGGGTAATGGGTTTATTGGAGACCGTGCTGACGCTGAAAGCTCTGATGGTCCTTTATGGTCCTGTGTACACATAGACGGTATGAAATCATCCCCTAAGTTCTGTCCCTAGTACCAATAACGAGAATCAATGGGTTAATGCGTAGCGGGAAACAAACACTCCTCCACTAAGTAGCTTCTTAATACTCGAGAACTAATTGAAGTAATTGTAATAATTAAAACAAATCAATCGACTTAACCTGTTAACTGTGAAATTTAGTTTGAAAAGTCTCGTTTCGTGCAATGAAATAAAAGAATGAAGCGTATACTCATCAAACTCAGGACGAGCACCTAGGGTATATTTTAATGGAAAGCCACAATAAAGTAAAGAATTACGTGTTTATTTGAAAAAATCGAGAATCCATCGTTGAAGGAATTAGCATCATTTCAAGCTTTAACCCTTTGTTCATATTTAGAAGACTAAATAGTTTCAGTAGTTTCCTGTTTTCCTATCAATCAAGGGTTAAGATGACGTGTACATTCGTCGAACACAGTTAACTGGTTGATCTTCTCTCTGTTTCATCGTTGTTCCAACGACTTTTCTATTGGAATGTGAATGTTATAAGGACTCTGCGTTAATGCGAAGATTGAGATTGACTCGGATCGTCGGTTACATTTGCAGCAATCCTCTGTCGGCTACCACATGTCGGTCACGCGCCTGCCAACGGCCACCGACGTCGCCGAGGAGGAGAGCGGAAGCTGTTATCTCTGCCCGGAGAGTGTCCGGCGCATCCTCACGACCATGCTCGATCTGAGCCTCCTGAAGAGCCCGTCATTCCTGATCCTCGCTATCTCCGGCGGACTCACTATGATGGGATTCTACACGCCGTTCATGTATGTCCCAGGTACGGTGTCAGCAGTGTTCTATAGACCATCCTACTGCTTTGCGATCTTTCGTACTAACCGTCTAATTTATTTTTCAAAAAGTACGGACATGAATGTTAACCCCTCTTTTCCAGAGCAATCGTCGTTTTGAAATTCTTTATGACTCTTGCGATTTTACAATAGCTGTGAGATTAATTTCTCACTGTGTACAGGGCGTTCCAAAAAGTTCGAAAATGTATGTTAAGATTCCTCTTCTCTAGAGGAATTGTTTCAAAATTCTATGATTCCTGCGATTTTATAATAACGATGAGATTTAATTTCACCGTATACAGGGCGTTCCACAAATCACGACAAAACGAATATAACGATCCTTGCTCTAAGAAATCCTTATTTTAAAGGTACACCGAAAAGATGAAACGAAGGTTTCTAATCAATATATCAACGCTCAACAGATATATAGGGTGTTTCAAACATACAGGTCCCGAGGACCGTCGTCCAAAGAAGTCCCACTTTAACGGTCTACAAAGACACTAATTAAAGCGATAGTTTCGTGAATCGGGCTCTCGACGTGTACAGGGCGTTTCAAAATCACCGCGCCGCATGAAGAAAACGCCAAGACTCGTGCAACTTGAACAGTAGCGGCGAAGGCCAGAAGAGTTCGAAGTAAACAGAGGACACCCTCGTTGGTTTTTCGCAGATCGTGCCAAAGTAGCAGGGATCGACCCATCCACGGCCATGTTCCTCGTCTCGGTGATTGGTATTGGCAACACGATCGGCCGTATCGTCTGCGGCCTGGCAAGCAGTTTGCCCGGCGTTGACGCGCTGGTCGTTAACAACGTATTCATCAGCGCCGGCGGACTGCTCACTATTTTGTCCGGGCTCTCGCTCACGCAGGGCTACCAATTCTTCTATGCCGCCACTTTCGGCCTCAGTATATGTGAGTACCGAGGAAGAAATCAAATCGTCGATTAGCACATTTAACACTAGGTTTACGAGCATTTATTGTACACTTGATTCTATTATTCCTAAAAGAATTGCTCGTTTATTTAGATTGTGGAAACTGGAGATTATAGTAGGTAATTGGGGTAATCATTTACAAAATATTTCTAAAATCCAATATGCGTCAGTTTGACGCGTTCCGTAAACCTAGTGTTAATTACCGAGATACTAATGACTAGCCGCGTATCGATGAGTCTTTATCCTCGATCGCAGATATCCCACTCGAGTGCCAACATAACATCGTACCAATTTCCGCGATGGTGTTCGAAAGTCAATTGCGAAGATCTTTATATTTATTAATCGATTCGAATTTGTTTATCAATTTATCGATTAATTAATGAATTAACTTATCCATTCGTTATTATATCGGTCGACTCATCTGTTTAATCAATTCGTCAGTTCACTTCAATATTCAACTCGTCCGGTCGTTAATTAATTTATCTATTCGTCACTTTATTACCTAATTTGTATATCAATTAATTCATTGATTTACTGCTTCGTCGGTTACTTATTTCCTTCCTTATTAAATTTATCTGTTTACCGTTCTATTACTTAATTTGCATATCGATCAATTCATTGGTTTATTGCTTCATTACTTATTTGCTCCGTTCATTAATCAATTCGCGTAATCGCCACTCTGTTACTCAATATCTAATTCCACGTTTTCTCGATAGCGGTGTTCGCCTCTCTGAGGTCGATCCTGGTGGTGGATCTCCTCGGCCTGGAGAAGCTGACCAACGCGTTCGGCTTGCTTCTTCTGTTCCAGGGGGTGGCGGCAGCTGTGGGCGCACCCCTCGCAGGTGATTCTAAAATCCTTATCGCACCTCTGCACCTCGAATATCATGCATCACGTCTATTAACCCTTCGCGGACGAAGCCTCCTCGAACTATACAAAACCTTTAGATGGACCTAAATTAATAGAGAAAAAGGAAACTACTGATCTCTTGCTCTCTAATTAAATCATCCATTCACTCAGTTTCGCAAACAGGAAATTTATCTCGTTGGAATGTCGACATTCGTCCGCAAAGGGTTAACTATACGGATTCGCGTTTCATAAAATCTTGCAGCTATGAAGACTGCCACTGAAACAAACGTTACTCGCGATCTAGATTCCATTTAACACTGAAGTTACCGGATAATCTATTTCCTTCGTTTACAATCGTTAAAAAGATACAAGCATTCGTTAGAGAAATCACCGAAGAACCTGATTTGATGATGAAATCCAATGAGAATCCCAGTAAGCATACTTTCGTCAAATTCAATCAACTCGACAGCTCGGATTTCATAGAACAAAATGGACTAAATGGAAAAAATATATTACATCATTTGATTGAATTGCGTCATTATTATTACACGCTGAGCTCAATGTCACCTCATTGTTTATAACATAGAAATGTCAAATAATCGTCCTTCGATTAAACGAACTATAGTAATTCGATTTAACTCGGTGTCACCGGTGACCAATGGCATTCAACGTGTCAAAGTCTCGATCGCAATCGCAAGGTAAAGGGGTTAATTCGCCGTCATTTCGAATCAGTCGAACTGAAATATCCGGTATCGTTCACCGTGCATCGGGCACCGATCGATCGGCGATCGGCGATCGCGATCCCGCCGAAAGCCGTTACGCAACCGTCTCGCGGAGGCATTGTACAGGAGAGCCGAGAACCTTGAAGCCGCCGCGAGATAAGGAACACGAGCGACCGACGACTTACGGCCGGAGTTTCAAGCGTGCTCGTTTAATTGCCGAGGTTTCCACTTTCGGTACACGCAATTATCGCGGGGCCCGCTGATTTACGGCGGAGCGATCCGATCTCGCCGACTCTGGCCGGCCGGTTGTCAAAACTGACCGACGCCGCGTTTCCCGTCCGGCTATCTAATCGAGCCTAGCATTCGCAATTTTGCCGGCATTGAATCGCCTCGGTAAGCCCCTGGAAGGCCGCACACGGAAATAACGCGAGAGATCGGTAGCGTTTAATCGGTACATTTATAAAACACGGAGAAGAAAGATGTTTATTTTTATTCGACTTCGCTGTTTCCGAATCCCATTTATTTTATTAATACTGATTTCATTGGTCTTGATTAATTTGTTCATTCCCTGGGAGTTTCATACGTTTCTATATTTGTAATTACTGCACCGAGTTTCATGAGAATTTTATCGATACAACTATAGGAGTAACTTGATCCCCTTTCGAAGATCTAATCTCCGACCACGTTCTATGTCGATAATCCATAAATCCAGCAAAACTGTAACTTCAACACTGGACTTCTATCTAAATCTAGCGATTCTCGGTGACGTTCTCGAACACAATTTCCACGCAGATCTCTAACGATTGTAAATCAATTGGAAAGGCCTTCTTCATAGCTTCATTCAGAATTCCCACGGAAGTCTAGAATTCGTCGCACGTTCTGACGAGCCGTGAATCTGTTCCGCAGGCGTGTTCATGGACGCCACCGGAAGCTACGACGCGGCGTTCTACCTGTCCGGCAGCCTGATCTTCCTGTCGGCGGTGATCTGCTACCCGCTGAAGAGGATCAACGTGTGGGAGTCGAAGAAGGCCGGCCAGGAGTGCGAGGACCCGAGCAAGTCCTGATCGACCGTCGGACCTCGGCGCCGCTGGGACGAAGCCTAGCGTCCCGTCCGCCGTCGGCCCGATGCGTTTGTACATACTAATGCGTTGATAATTTATAGCGGAGTCGACCGAGACGATTGTTAATCGGCGGCCACGTGCTCGCGCCGAAAAGAGGAAGGCGTCCTGCCGCGACACCGGCGACCCGGCGCGACCACGCGACGCCGGGCAACCCGAATACCGTCCACAACGAGGAGGCGACACCGTTTTCCGACGTGGACGCCGTTAAGCCGCGCCCCCGCGCGAACCAACCGCGATTTGTCGTTCGGTGGATCGCGTAGATCAGGGGTGTCCAACTTTCTAACTTTCCCGAGCGAGCTCGGGAGTATAAATCAACCCTTTGCACTCGAGAGATTCTCACTTGAAGCATCCGACACGTTCTAATCAGACGTAGACGAGATTGGAATAAATTTAACACTAGGTTTACGGGCATTTGTTACAGTTTATTCTATTCCTTGGGAAGTTGATATTCGTTTAGATTTTGGGAATTGTAGATGTAGAAATCAAGATTCATATTCGTGTAATTGGATCAACCGATTGAAACATTTACCTAATAATGTTTATAAAATTCAATCTGCGTCGAATTGACGTAAATCTAGTGTTAAGGAATCTCATATGAATTAGGGAACTGAAGCTATTTTCTTTCGATATTTCACGTATCGATGCAGAGTCGCCTTTCGAGTGCAAAGGGTTAATTCGGCAGAACGTTGCGACGCGTACTTCCAAGGTGTATTGGAATAATGGAAGCAGCGAGTTCAATTCAATTAATCGGAAGTACATTGATATGATATACTTACGGAAGATGCAGTTGAATTGGAGAATCGTTTATGGGGGTATAAGCCAGCTCTGCTGCGATTATTGTCAGTAATATTTTACGGCCGCGCGTGGGCGTCAACGGTACACCGGAGTCTAATTGGTACAACGCTGCTAAGGGGTTCATAGAATGTTTCACTCGTATTTGTGATAATAATGGGTCTTTCAGTCGCGATCGATTTTTGTCGGGCCCCGGGTTGGACAGGCCTGATCTAGATCGTAGCGTTGATGGAAAGGTGTTTCCGAGGAATGCGGGCCTGATCGAGCGGAGTAGGGGAAAGACACTTTTTACGTTTTACTGTCGCTTTGCTTGGCAACAATGGGCTGTTATGGTTTTTTGGACGTCTGATCGATGTGATACCGGTTCCGAGTCTTTGAGAATTCTGCGAGTTGGATGAAATTGATAGTGATATTAACACGATTAATTGTGATGTTAGTAATTCGTAGTTACTAATGCTTACGTTTTGAATTACTGATACCGATTAGTAACGATTAATATTATTAATAGCACTGTATCACTATCTGATTTCATAGAAACTCTTCGACGGCTCGGAAATTATAATTAATCTACTATTATTCCGAGTATCGACCCTAGACGCAGTGTTAATACAATTACAGTTAATCGGTTAATTTAAGACGCAGCGAAAGACTCGGGCGCCAACTTTCCATCAACGCTACTGGGTCGGTGGAGAATTAATAATCAAGTCAGCAGTATTCGCGCCGCGGCGTCGTTGAATCGGGAACGTTCCCACGGATTAGCGGGAATCGTAGAGATGCTGTATATTTCTGTGTACAGTTGTAAATAAATCGTAGGGGTAATGCTCGATGCGCTTTCCCTCTACAGCGACGAATAGACTGCGGAACCTTGTGCATTTGTAGGATGTAGAAATTTTTCGAGGATCAAGAGCATCGAATCGTCGGTGATATTTTACGGAACTTTATTATACGCGAGATTTCTCTAGATCACTTTTGATAAAACGTACATCCGCGCGGCCTAACCGGTCTACGGTTAATATATTTTTGATAAACAATTAATTAAAACTCGAATCGCACAGTCGACCGACTGAAACTACGTTCGCAGAGTAATCCAATTAAACGTAAATTCTTATAGTTAGCTAGTTAAAATTATATTCCCGAAGTTATCTACTAATTAGAATGATATTCCTAGCATGAGCTGATTAGCGAAATTGATACAAACGATGCGAGGCGAAGTATACGTGCAATAACGTATCTCTCTGACCGCGCATATCCGGACGGATGTTTATTTTCCACCAACCTGATTCTCGCGGGTTCGAGGAGTCGAGCCTCTCCGGCTTGACCGCCATCTTGTCGCGCAGCGAGAAGCGGGGACGCGGCTTAACGGGAACGAAAATCCGCGTTAGAACAGAGTTCCCGCGAAATGTTAATCGCCACGAAACCAGTTCCGAAACGCGTCACTTTTATATTCCGTGACGGCGCGCCGCGCGCTGTCACGCATTCTTCTTCCCCTCCATTCTTCTTTTTTTCTCCTTCGTTGTTTTTCTATTAACGGACACGTTACTGCGATAACGCCGCTTCAACGCGAACGCGGCGAAGTGCCTTGCGCTCGGTGATTCACACGACGGCCGGAACGAAACAGTTCTGCCGTCTTTGTTCGAGGAACAGGTCTACCGGAAAGTTCCGTCGGTTTTCGAATGAAACGGACGAGCGGATATCGAGTTCTTTAAAGACTATTTAGTAACACTTCGAGTGGACTTTCATTCATGCGATAATGCGACTACCTATGGAAATACTCTGGTTCTGAAGCTACAATCTTCGCGATTTATACAGACGAACACGTAGTTTTCTAATAATAGAAGAACAAAGTGTAGAACAAACGACCGTAAATCCAGTGTTACTCACGGAACGATACAATTTCCATCGTCGCTAATGACCCCTTCGCAGCGCGATGGCAATTTGTGAATTTCATGTTTATAGAATCGTTCGTTTTTGGAAAATCGAGATGACATTATCGCACCGAACATTCCGGTAGACCCGATAGTTCCGCCGTTCGTATTGGCACGACGAGGTCCGCGCCCGAACGAACGGTCCCTATTGTTCGAGCCGGCCTCCGTTTGGAACTTAACCCTGAACGTTCGAGAGCGGAGACAGACAGTTACTTACAACGATCGCGATCTATCGGTGTCGATCTATTTTTGCTATAGTTTGTATTCACACAGCCGAAAGCGGACTGCCATACCTGCGAGCGCACACTCTTGTTTCATTTCATACGAGCTGGATTCAACGATACCGATCGCGTGCGCGCGCGAAAGAATCGACGCCCGTTTCAATCGTAACTGTTATCTTCCTCGTCACTTGACGCATTCTCTTCTCGATTAACGCGTCTAACCTTTTCGCTGCGCTAATGGACGACAAGCTTGTCGTTAATAGAATTGTACAAGCTCGTGTTAATGCAAATTCAATTGTTACGTGCTCCGATGCAAATGATCGACTTCGAAGCGTAACATTGTTCACGACACGCTGTATCGTAATCGAGTCCTTGCGCGTTCTTTCGCGCGGAAACACGCGACGCGTCCTCCTTTTGTAACAATCTGTACTACGTTCGTTTTAGCGGTAGTCTCCGACAGGACAGAGATACAGTCTGTCCACCGGTTGGTAGCCAACGGGAAGCCAAACTAGATCCAATAGAGATCCTCGTGTTTTCGAATTTCGATTGTAAAGTGGATCAGTGTGAAAAATCGAATAAATGGAACCTGGTCAGCTGTCAAGTGGTGGACGGACTGCGGCCCAGAAGCGGCGCGCGTTGTCCGCGCTCCCGCTTCCGGAGTATCTCGGCGAGAGTAGATTTCTATTATAAATAACCCCACGTCCGCGCGGCCGTACGTTAAAGGCGTATGTACTTGCATAAACGAGTACACGTAATCTCGACAGACCGTGCATCCGTTCCGGTGCAGCGCTGCTCGCAGCGTTTAATCGACTACCGCCCGATATCCGGCCTCGCGACCCGGATATGCCGGCACTAACCCCCTCCCCCTCCCGCCCCGTAGCCCTAAGGACTTGCTCAAAAATGAAATCCGTTCCTACTGTTCCTAACGAATTACTCTACCCTAGTATTTTATAGGCGAGCCATCATCCCGCCGCGCGCCATCTTGTTTTCCTTGTTACGCTCCGTCTGCCGGGCAGCCGACGCTTCTTCGACGAAGATCCTTCGAGCTGCTCGGAATCCGCGGAGGAGGCGAAATTATACATTGAATGTTTCAGTACCGGAGGAAAAGAGAATTGCGTATCGATCTTCCGTTACTGTGTAGCTAAATTGTTCCTTTCGCGACTGCATATCTTGGACACGACGGCCCGACAGGAAGTTCACAGGCTTTTCGATGACTCGTGATTTTACAGAGGAAAGCGGCCTGATCGGTTTCTTTGGACAATGTTAATTAGTTCGGTTAAGAATAGAATAAAGAATGAAAGTTTGATTTAGTCGTGATGTAAATTGTCCGACGTGTCTTCCAGCTTGACCTTTCGCATTTTCGTGTCTGCAGGTTAATTGCTTCGTATAAACAACTCGAGAGTCCCGTAAATCTAAGTTCGAAGATCGTGGACTATTATCCTCACCCGACGCCATGTTGGTTTCCCTAATGGCCGACGTCGTAACATTTCCATCTCACAACTCCCCATTTCCGTGAAGGTACTGCTAAACCTTCCAACTATCCTCACTTTCGAATAACTCGAACGAAGGAGATAATACTCTTAGCGTCTTTATCTTCGAGGAATGGACACCAGGAAGTTTCGAGGTGAGCGGCCATCTTGGCCCCCAATAAACGCAACGAAGCGAGTGCTCCCGACAAGATCTCCTGAAATTCCCAAACAAAAAGCGACTCGATCATGCGTTCGCTGTATTGCCAGCGAGGATTCGCATCTCGGAGATCGTGAATCACCTGTTTACGATCCAGTGACGTGTTTACGATAAATCGCGTCCGATGAGAACGCGCACGTACCGGCGCGTTCGTCGCGGTTCGCTGAATAAAGTCGCACTATACGCTGCCCCGCAGCGATAACGGACGCGGTATCGCGTCCGAGGAACGTCGATACCCGCGGAAAATCGTGCGTCCACGTTCGTCAACGTTCCCACGAAAGAACGGGAAAAAAACGAAGAAGCTGCGCGTCTCGCCGCGAGTTCGAATCCTTTGCACTCGACAGTTTTTCGCTAGAAGTATTCGACGTCCGAAAACCAACCTATCGAGTCAATTCAGGAAAGTCGCTTTATTTCCGTATTTCAATGCAGTACGCATCAAACTTTACGATTTTGCTACATCAAATCATAAAATATTCCATTCGATGTTAAGCTTCTTACGATATTCGAAATACCGAAACAGAAGAAAATTTTCCACGTTAATATCAAATATTTCTATTAAGGAAATAGGTTTTAGATTGCGAAGGGTTAGTCGAAACGCGCCGCGCGTCGGGACCGTGGGATAATAGCTCGATTAGCGTTTAATTATCGCGTCGTTCCGGGGCTTTTGCAGCGCCTCGCGCCGCGTCGCGTCCCGATCCTTGATCGCCATGTTTGTCGGCGCGCGCCCGCGATCGCCACGATCGCAGGCGGGACGCGCGCGGCGCGTAGATTATGTAAATGAACTAATATTAAAACTGTGCGGCTTTAAAAAGCACAGAGGATAAAAAACTCACACACACACGCGCGCGCGCGCGAGCGAGGTAAAAAAAGGAAAACGAAGTATGCTAAGAGAAACGGATTTTCCTAATGGCGGTCGAGCCTGTCGCCTTCTGCGTTTCTTTTATCCTGCCACTCCTTTAATTCCCCATCTCCCTGCCCCGTTGCGTGCGTACGACGCTTATAAATTATTTATCCGCGAGGCGTATACGCGATCATTGCAACGCTCCGATCGACGGTCTAATTGGCTACGCCTTCTTATCTTTCATTGCCAATAACAACGGGCTGGCCGCTTTGCAATTTATTAGGCTCCTGCGGCTTCATTAGCCGCGGCCTACTGCATTTCGTTAAGCGGCCGCATCCGCGGAATTCTTCGGCGAGGGAAACTTCGTTCGCTTCCGACCTCCGTTTAACCCTTCGCACTCGTCTCTGCAACGCGACTCGATATTCGTTTCATGGTGTGCACTCTTACGTGGAAATTCACCGACAGTTCTAACCCTTCGCACTCGGGAGGTGACTCTCTTATGTACTTCGGAAAATCATGTTTCCCGTTGAGAATTGGGTTAAATCCACTTTAACAATACTGACCATTAGCAGCTCCATTTCATACGATGACGCAACAAGATACTTTCAACGAACCCGAATGGATATTCCGATTAATAAAAATAGTCAAGCATATTCTGTTCACTGGACATCGTCCAAGTGACCACTTTTGAGCCGAGCTGTACTCGTATGATGCTTATCTCCCGTGTCATTATTAATGGCTCATTAATAAGAGCGAAAGGCGTGTATATACAGGGTGTTCGAAGTTCGACCGCACTTTCGCTGAACGAAGGCTGGTCAGGAACAACAAAATCATGTGCGCCAACGCAAAACTGTTCTCTCCCTAAGTTCAATCGCTTAAAAAAATAAAAATACCCCGTTAGTTGTCTACTAATTCGCAATTATCGAGTAACCAGCGACGTCTCAATTCCAAAACAATCGCGAATCGAACGCTGGTTCGTCCACGTGATTCCGCTGACGTCATTCTTCGTCGGAATAACTTGAAGTCCGATGAAAAAAACGGAGGGAAACGGTATGTGTCGTTCGTTAAGAACTCGGCCCGTAAGTTCAAAGAAGAAGGTCAGCACCGAAAAGGAGGGTGTTTAACGAACAGCAATAATTTATGCCCGGGCATGGTCGCGCGGGAGAAAAAGACCTGCGCGAAAAGATGGCGGCCGTGCGTCGGGGTGGGCGTCGCGTCGCGGGACTCGGGCGCGCTCGTAAATACCGTCGGCCGGCAATTCGCTTTTACGACTGAGCCTGGTTAGGTCCGAGCGAATTGCTGTCCCGGAACGTTTCGACCCTCGCCTCTTCTACGAACCGGATAATTGAAAAAAACATCAACTTCGAAATCTACCGGAACTCGTCGGAGATTCGCGCGATGTTTCCTTTCGGCTCTGTGTCGCTTCGAAATTTTTTAACCCCTTGCCACGATTTATTCGACAACTGTGACCGACTGCTTTGCGATTAACCCGTCGTCTTATGACGTCCCTTAAGATTGTGCTTCAGAAAATATAGTTGTTGATAATTTCTTAGAAAAAGATTTGGTTACTCTCGTGTTGTACAGAATATCTTTGGTTTTAGGAGGTATTAATAGTAATGCTCGTGATAATATTAAAATGCTGATACAGTGTTATAACATTAAGTAACTTTGAGTAACTTTGGGTAAGAAATGTTTCAGACCACAGATAGTTAAGGGTTAACGACGTTTCTCTCCGCGAACGCTTTTAATTCAAGTTCCAGGCTACGCGCAGCTGACCCTGTTCCCGAGCCGGCTTCTTCGAATCAGTTTTTACTGCGGAAACACGTGATTTGACGCTCGATAATTCGCCGCGGGGATGCACTTTATTTTGCGTCGCACGCTGGGAAGATATCGACGTTCCCGCGGCCGGCGATCAATTTTTCGGCTCCCGATCGTGAGTAACAATGAATATTCATAATGCGCTTCGACTGATTACATGGTGATTGCAATAATCCCTCATTGTTATACGTAACTCTGCGCAAACTACTCAGCAGCACATAGTTAATCTTCAATTTTCGTTACGCGGACAGTTCATTTTCGGGGTTTCGTCGACGCGCGGCAGGGATTCGCGTGTCGCTGTTCCTCCTTTTCGTCGGGTTATCTCCTGTTTCATCGTTAGCCGGGTATTTCCGGATTGTTTATGCCGGCTGTAAAAAGTTTACCTTCGATAGAAATTTATTATTAAGTCCCCGGGGGTCGGAGCGGCGACGATTCAGCCGCGGCGGGCCGTAAACCATGGCGGAGCCGCGCGCGGTTGTAAAAACGGGGACGTAAAAAGAGACCATAAGTGCTATTATTTTCCTTTATCATCCGGCCTGGCAACCACGGAGAAATTCGATCGACGCCGCGCATTAATATTTCATTCGTGCGCGTCACCGTGCAGACGCACGCTGCGAGGCTGTCGGGGCTCGTTCCGCGAGCGAGCCTTCTCGCGCGAGGCGGACACGTTCTCCTCCGTTCGCGTTCCTTATTTTTTTTATTACAATATCAATGCCGGATGTAAGGAGCTTTTAGTGGCGCGCGCTGAATCGAATTTCGCAAAAGGATCTCCGGAGAGTCATCAATTACCGCTTCGCGCGCCATCGAGCCGCTTCGTGGATCGTTCGACGTGGGCGCAACGGCGCACCGGCGGACGGGTTTATGGGAAAGTAAGACACTTTCCAGCAGTGTTTAAATATTTCAAACGTTGGACGCGTGAGCCTGGAATGCGTGTAGGACGAAAAATGTGAACTGGCAGTTCTGTTTCACGAGACTTAACCCTTTGCACTCGAGGGGCGAGTCGACGCAAACTTAGAAAATTTTCAATTCAATGTTAAACCTTGCGTAACAATATCATTTGTTAGTTGCGAAAAGTATCGCTAATATTTAGTCAGAAAGTAATGAATATTCTTCATGAAAATATCGTCGAGTGCAGAGGGTTAATAATTTCGTTATATCAAATCGAGCGAGCGTCGCCTTCCGAGTGCAACTTCAGCCTTCGCAGACAAATCTTCGGATTATACGAAATTCAGCGGATGAAGCTAAGTTATACATCGATCGGCCAAACAATGGAACAAGCGGAAACTACGTACCGATGTCTCGCTGTTTAAGTAATTAAATCATTCGTTCGCGACTCAGTATTCCAAACATGGAAATCCGATCTGCCCGAAACGTTGAAATTCCTCCGCAAAGGATTAGCCGGCATCCTCTATCTTCGGGCAGCGCGTCCACCGTGATATTTCCAGACATTAATCGCCGAGACTCGCCGCTCGGCCAGCGAAGGCCCGAGTCGCCCCATTTACGAGCGACCATGAAGAATCCGCTCGCGGGGCACTCGTAAAACAATTATCCGCGTTTACCTCTCCGCCGCGGTCCACACGCGAAGGAGAGCCGCGTCCTCGTCGTTCGAGTCCCGTGAAGTGTTCGCCCGAGGCGCGGATGGATGGTGTAAAACCGGCAATAAAAGAACGCCGCCGTAGAATTCACGGGGTTAGGGGAACCGAGGAAATTGACACCGAGAACGCTGGCCGAAAGAGAGGAGAGCGTGTGGCCTCTTAGCCGGTAGCGAAGAGGATGGAGGATCGATGGAGACCGGGATAGAGAAAAATGGAAGCATCTTATCCGCGAGCAAACGTGGACTAAAGCGGATAAAGGAGAGAGGGATACAGAGGGTAGACGAAGTCAACAAAAGGCGATGATAGAAAGGAAGCAGAGGCGTATAGGATTACAAGTAGCAAACAGG